TTCCTGTCATTCACCTTCTGTGTTCCTTCTTTCTTCCTTTGATCATGGCTGTTGTAAAACCTGAGCTGATCAAAAAGCATCATGTGCAACCAGATTGACTCATTTAGTTTGGCTCACCTTTCTTCCTCATTTAAGTCCTGTGCGGTGTTAGAATTCTGCTTTTTAAAAGTGCCCTATTTTTCTCAGAGTTTTGGCCTTGGGAAATACTTGGCATTCTAGGAGTTTAGGGCGTATATGTCTGATGGTGGCCAGTGTTCCTTGCCATGGTATTACCCTCTAGAATGACAGTCACTTTCACCTGAGGCTCCTGTAATTAACTCTAACTGCTTTTTCTGGTTGGTCTGAATAAAGTCTAGTTACAGTTCTGAATCTGGTAGATTCAGCTGTCAGCAGAGTTCAGTTGGGAATCTGTAGGATTTGTTTCTGAACCTTGCATACTTCCCAGAGGAGGGAAGTGTTTGGCTTTGGCACAGCTCATGCCTGGGAGCCACTGGCCCTCAGTTTTACTCACGTGTTCAGCAGCCACTGTGTTGTTAAGAGGTCATCTGACTTATCTGAATTGAATTTAACTCTTTTCTAGAATTAGGCTAAAGAGTGTTACCACCTGTTTCTCTTAGTTGAGATACAGGATTAATGAATTACTATCTGTAAAGCGTTTAGAAATTTGTGAATAAGGCCTCATATAACATAGATAATTTTGAAACCGCTCTCATGGGGGAAAAAATAGCTCATTAGATTCACTGTGGTTTTTAAGAGTGAACTCTTGTGGGAGAATAGCATTAGTCACCAGGGTGCCCTGACGGAACGGACCTTAAGAAACCCAGGGGCTGAGCAGTGTGGGGCGCACACACATCCAGAGAGGATGTAGTGATTGGTGCCGTTGGGAATGCTTATATAGTGTCATTGGAGCTCTGTGCAGGAGGTCCTATTCTGAACTCTGAGGGCTCAGAGATAGTGAAAAGGAAATTTTCCTGCTGATTTAAACCCCTTTGGGTTTTCCAAATCCATATCTAATGCATTTGTAAAAGTACTGCAACTGCTCATCGCTCCCGTGGCCTCATCTGGCCAGCCAGCAACAGGCTACAAACCGATCTTTGTACAAGGTGTTTGTTTATAATTTATGGAGCTGATAGAAAGGCAGAGCCCTCTGCTCCTCCAGGCATCAGTACTTCTTACCCCTCCCATTCCCTGCTAGGGCATTTTAACTTGGAAATCATTTATAATTAGGAGGAGATTACATTGCACAGTCTGGAACATGGCTTCCTGCTGTCTTCTGCATTGTTTTTGCTCCTCCTGGAGCTGCCCCCTGAAGCTCTTAAGCAGTTTTGATTTGAAAAATCCTTTCTTTCCTAGACTTTATTTCCATTCTCAGCTGCCCAGCTAACTGCTCCATCATCATTCCCCACATGTGTTTTGCCTTTAAGTGCAGGGCAGTTTGCTGGAGCTCCAGCTCAGGGGTCAAGGACTGTTTGGTGAGACAGCAGTTTTCAAGTGTGGTCCCAGACCAGCAACATCAGATGCCTGGGAACTTGCTAAAAATACAAATTCTCAGGCCTCACCCCAGCGTTCTGTGTTTTAATAAGCCCTCCAGGTGATTATGATGCATGCTGATACTTGAGAACCACTGTGGTAAGGCAAGGCAGGGAGCAGAACAAAGGTTTCTAGTGGTGTGTGGGTTGCCACTGTCTTAAACTGTATTTAACTTCACCTTTTTCTCTACCTGCTTACATCATTATTGAGTCCAAAAAGGATGAGCTCTCCTTGTCATTAGTGCATTACTTTGCTATGGCCTGAGAAAAGAAGTAACAGAGACCCAGGAAATCTCTCCCTTTGTAAATTAACTCATCAAAATTTCAGCCTTACGAGAAGAAGCTGCATGAGCGAATTGAAGCAGTGACCACTCACCACTGTAACTGAACATTTCCATTTCCATTCCATGTTCCATCTCAACATTTCCATTTCCATTGCTTGTTGTATATTAATTTCCATGAAATTAATATACAACAAGCAATAAATGTAAATTGCTAATTGGAGCTTTGAAATATTAATGAAACTGTAAACACACCACCCACTACTCAGTGAAGCTACCAGATCACTCTGTGCCTATTACATCCCCTTCATTATGGTAGAAGTAAAACCCTAGATCCCTAGCTGTACAAGTTCTGAAAGGGAAACATACTGCTGGAGAAGCTCCATTTTAATTTTTAGCATTCTCTTTTCACTTGTTATTTGCATATCTCTCTCTGAGCTCACTGCAGGAACTGGGAGCAGTTGTGAAATTGGGTGGAGTTGAGGGGATGGGACAAAATTTGGGAGATGGCCATTGACTTGGAATCATCATAATACAGTACAAACACAAACACCATGGCTTGAATTTGAGGCTGACAAAATGCTTTTTGTCTATATGCCCAGTTTTTCGTGGGCTTAGAGCCGAGCCTCCCAAAAGAAGGAAAACCTTACTTGTACTTTCCCCCTCACCCGCAGACCCCTCTTAGTAATTAATCTGGCAGTATCTAGTTCAGTGCTTTTTTAATGTTGGTGGTGAGTTTTGAGGGTCATTGTAGGCTTCTGTGTGTTTGACTGAATTGCAGGTTAACACATACAAGCTAGATGTCTGTAACAGCAAGATAGAAAAGCCGACTTTCATAAAATACTCACCATGCATTTTTGGGACATTAAATGTAGATAAAATGGAAACCATACAAAGCTGCCTTAAAGCCCACAGAGTCCCATTTCCTTTTCTGTTTATTTTCATGTCCTACTTAATACTTGTCATTGCTTTCTTTCTCTCTCTGCCTTTGATGGTTGCAGTCTAAATTGTCAGTTTCTTTTTACCTTTCTGAGGATTGTGCCAACATAAAGGTTAGAAAACCAAGATGGACTCACTTTTTTTTTTTTTAATTTATTTTATTTTTGGCTGTGTTGGGTCTTTGTTGCTGCACGCAGGCTTTCTCTGGTTGCAGCGAGCCGGGGCTACTCTTCGTTGCAGTAGGCAGGATTCTCATTGCATTAGCTTCTCTTGTTGCAGAGCATGGGCTCTAGGCACGCGGGCTTCAGTAGTTATGGCACGCGCAGACTCAGTAGTCATGGCTCGCAGCCTCTAGAGTGCAGGCTCAGTAGTTGTGGCGCAGGGGCTTAGTTGCTCCGCGGCATGTGGGATCTTCCTAGACCAGGGCTCGAACCCGTGTCCCCTGCATTGGCAGGCAGATTCTTAACCACTGCGCCACTAGGGAAGTCCCTGGACTCACTGTTGAAGCTCCCGCAGTTGCTTTGGTTTTGTAGCCCCAACTGTAATCCTGTGTCAGTCCTGGGAAGGGGGAGGAGATTATCTTTTTGGCAACAGGCTTGGGACCCTGAGTAAGGAGCAGACAGTCTCAGTGCTAACTAGATAAATCTAGCCATACAGGCTCGAGCAGATGGTGGGTTGGAAGTTGAGCAGTACAGAGCCCTAATGGTGATAGCATTGAGTATTTGGATGTCATTATCTTATTAGTTAGCAAACAGAACCATCCTTGTGGTCCCTCCTCAGCTTTATGTGTAATGGTGCTGTAGGTGTCAGCCCCCAGGAGTTGGCACAATAGCCTAATCAATGTGTTCTGATGTCTTTTTTGATCTCCTCTGTCATCTCTATGGCTTCATTAACAACACACACAGGGAAAGGGGGATGAATATAGAGTTTTAGAAATCACTCTGAATCCCTGATCCCATAAGTCTCACGTTCCCCCTGGAAAGCAGCTCTTTGTTTTGTTTTCCTTAAGGTAATTTCCTGGGGAAACTTGCCCTTGACCTTCCTGGTCAGGCCATTTGGCTTCCTGGAGTAGATCACCTGGAATCTGGTGAGGGCAGTTGAACTTGCCTTTTTGTTTGTTTTAACCATAATGCCTCTGACAGTGGACATCTGAAGTGATCTCCTTCAAATAAGAGAAAGTGAATTAGTCTCTTTGCATGTAAGTAGATCTAAATGAGACAGAGCCCAGAGGAGCTTGGTCCCTTTGGATGTGTTGTGCTGTTCTGCTCATGCCCATGGTGTGGGCCATCTGATTCCAGGCTCACATCAAGGGTAGGCCACTTCCTCCCGGCAGGGATTTGCACAATGGGCCTCAGAGAGGGATTCAAATGAAAACCGGAACAAATCATGCAGGTGCAGCCCCAGAGCTAGCTAACATCTCATTAGTCCTGTCATGTGGCACGATTCTCCCCACGGACAGGCATTCCTCCACCCCACCTCCGACCCCACCCGTTCCCTCGCTGGTGCTGAGCCTGCCTGCTGCCTGGCTGACTGTGCTTAATTCTCAGTAACTGCTACGTGCAGACTGGGGCTGCCCATGGTCATTGGCTTATGGTATGGGCGAGGGATAGAGCGTAGTGAGAAATGAAAATAGTTCCAGCCATCCAGCCAGGGCTAGGCTTTGTTTCTCTTTATCCTCTCTTGTGGAATTAGGGATTAGCATTAGCAAGGAGCCGTCCAGAAGACTGAAGTCTCTAAATGCTCCAGTTTTCTTAAATGAGAAAATAAGACGAAAACTGGTGAAATGATTTCCTTCTCCAAGGTCACATAGAGATCGGGAGTAGGATTCTCACCCCCAAGGAAGTTTTACCTGGATCACCTATTTCTTGGAATCAGTGGGTTTACATTTTCATTCATCTCAGTTTTGGACAATAACAGCTGTTGAGTGGCTCTCCAGGAACAATTTTTAATAACTTTTTCCCTAGCTCATCTCTCAAGTGATGTTTCCTAAGTGTGAGCTAAGACTCAGCATGTGGTTATGGTTGTGTTGACTCTCTGTAGTTTCCTATTAAAGTGGTAGAAGAGACATATCTTTTGTGTGTCTTGTGTTGCTTGTTCCATGACATTTTAGTTTGATAAGGCAGCCTTTAGTATTTCTAGAGAGGGTTCAGGTTCAGGCCCTTAGAGAGACCCCCAGATTTCTTGACCCAGAATTTTTTATACCATCAACTCCAAACTTTCTTACCCTCTTTTCTTTCTTTGTCTGATGCAGCCTCCATGAATGTGCTGGTGCAGAACTGCAAGATCTACAATGATGCCAGCTGTGACATTTCTGCAGATGGCCAGCTTCTGGCGGCTTTCATCCCTAGCAGCCAAAGGGGCTTTCCTGATGAAGGCATCCTGGCAGTGTACTCTCTGGCCCCCCATAACCTGGGCGAAATGCTCTACACCAAGCGATTTGGTAAGGGATAGGAAGCCCAACCTGGTGACAAAGGGTTGCTGGTACCTTGGCCTGGGCATTCCTAGGTGAGGTATAGCTTAGGTGGGAGTAATGGTCACATACTGCCCCTGCTTCACTGGGGCACGTGTCAGAGGAAGATTGCTTTGTGCTGGCTGGTAGCACTGCAGAAGAATCTCAGAATAAGAGTTCTCCCTACCACAGTGGCATCACCAGCATACTCCTGTTGTTATGGGCAGGAATAAGGGAGAGCTTCGTTCTTGGCCATGGCTTGGGGAAGTGGGCACACACACACTGCAAGGCCGTTTGGCATTGTGTATTAAAAGCCCCCAAAATGTATGTTCTCTTTGATCCAGTAATTTCACTTCTAAGGAAATAATCAGAAAACTATGCAAGATTTATTCAGAAGGATGTTCACAGCAATGTTATTTATCATAGAGAAAAATGTCAAATTGTGAAGAGTTGCTTAAAGAAATAATGGTGCATTAATAGGGCAGAATACCATTTGGCCTTTAAAATGCTCTTACAGAAGACTATTTAATGGTGAAAAATGTTCGTAATGGATGAAGTGAAAAAAGTAGATTTCAAAATAGTATTTACAGTATAATAATTTTTAATGTGATTCTATGATAATACTGATTAGCATTTATTAAGTACTTTTTATGTGTCACACACTGTACTCAGTACTTTACATGCCTTCTCATTGTGCTCTTCACTGCAGTCCTATGAGATTAACCCCAGGATGACCAAACAAAGATGAAGATTAGAGAGAAAGAGAAAAGACTAAGAGGGAAAATTATTCCCTTGTAATAGCAAGAACTCTGGGAGATGTTTCTCTGTTTTTCTGGCCCTCAGGTCCCAATGCCATTTCAGTGAGCCTGTCCCCGATGGGTCGATATGTAATGGTGGGCTTGGCCTCACGAAGGATCCTGCTGCACCCCTCCACGGAGCACATGGTGGCCCAGGTCTTCAGGCTGCAACAGGCCCATGGTGGCGAGACCTCCATGAGGGTGAGTGCATTGCTCGTGGCTTCACTGTATGGCGGCTCTCCTAGGCCTGGCTGGCAGGGTAATGCAGGACAAGGTTGTGGTCTCCCAGCCAGGACCAGAGATGTCATGCCCATAAGGAGCCAGGAAGGACTCCAGTCCAGCCTAGTAATGACCAGCAGGCCGCACTTTTGGAAGCTCTGGACTATTAAAAGGCAGGGGCTTTCTCATACCCTAAATCATGAGCTGGGTCCCCAGAGGCCTGAAAGGATCTTTGCTTAAAGACCAAACTGAATACTTCCTTACCTCAACATGAAACCTTCAGTCTGGAGATACACAGAGAACCCAATGAAATATTTATGCTTCTTTTTAAAATAAATTTTTCAGGACGCAAGCTATAAAAAGAAATAAATAGTATACTATGAAATGTTCTTTTCCTGAGGTTGTAATCATGATGGAGGATAAGGACTTTGGGCAGCTGCTATGCTCTTAACTGTCCCATCCATTTCAGTAGCAGAGAAATGTTCTATTTAGGACCCTTTCTTGTCTGAAGCCGTCCTTGCTTGTATTGCCATAAAAGCCTTCTGGGCATCCTGGGGTTAGTGGCCTCCTGGACTCAACCTGTCTAGTTTCTGACTGAGATTATTCCTACATCCCATGAGTGCTCATTTGGCCAGGGTTTTGTCAAGGGGAGTTGAGCATTTGAACACTTCTCTAATTAGATGGTGTTTAAGCTCGGTCTCAATCTAAGAACCTGTGAATTCCCTTAGCACTTACGCTGTGCCACTTATAGTTTTATGCACTTGTTTATGTGTTGTTTTGTGTTTTCTTTAGCAGTGTGGTGTGTATGTTTAATCCACCCAATTAGGTTCAGTGTAAGCTCCTTAGGGGCATATCCCCCGGGGTCCCTCATTTAGTGCCACACATGTAGATGCTTGTTGAATTCAGCCTGGAATATGAAGCATTTGTTTTAAAGAAAAAACCCTAAAGATAGGACCCATTATATACAAAGCAATAGAAAGTGGGTGGCCAGGTGTGGTGTCTCCAGCCTCTTGTCCCTCCTGTCTCCTACAAGGACCTTCTATCCAACTCTACTGAGCCACTTTCCAAGCCCCCTGAATTAGTAAGGCTCTCTCTTGCCCGGGTACCTTTACCTGGAGTGCCCTTTTCTCCCTGAAACCCAACTGCCTGCAAGCTCTTCCCCTTCTATGGAACCTTCCTAAACAGAATTGATCACTCCCTCCTGTGCCACCCCTGTACCTGGCACACTCTCTGTGTTAACACTCATCACACCGAACTGCAGTTATTTATTTCCACATCGTTCTCCTCTCTTGGCCCATGAGCTCCTTGAGAGTAGGATCGTGTCTGTTTCATCTTTATGAACTCCGAATACCTAATAAGAAACCTCTCATTTAGGAGAAGCTGAATAAATGAAAGAGAATCTCAAGAAAAGCATCCTTATTGTTTCTAGGTGGTAACTAGCAGAACCATTGATGGGTGACATCGTGTCCCGCCATGCCTCTGAAAGGGTAGAAACAAGGCATTCTCTGCTCTTGACATCACAATGACAGGAAAGTTCTGATTCTTGAATCCATGTGACTAGAAATATTTGACATTGAGTGATTGGGAGAGGACTTTGCAGGAAGTTCATCAATCCTATTTTCTTACCTAGATAAATGAGGATGGAAGGTGAATTTTAGTTTAAATATTCTTATCTTAAGCAGATTTGGATGGTAAAAGTACCTGGTGTCTGCTTTTTACCACCTAGAATCTTGATCCTTGCTGTTCTTCTAACCCTTCCTACCTAATTGTGGAATAATTGTTTCTAATCATTAAGAGAGGATCTGATTTCAGCAACACTAATGGACATCTCCAGCCTCTTCTGGAAGCGAGGGCTCCTGCCCAACTTTTGGGCACAGCCTGCCAGTCCTCCATCCTAGCAAGGTTCCTCTTTTCTATAAGTAGCCAGAAACATCTGGCTAAAGGCAAACAGCTCCAGGGCGGGCGCCAAGATGCTGTCACATATGGGGCCGGCAGCTCAGGGAATGCAGTTGGAGAAGTCTGCTGTGTAGGGGCTCAAGGCACCTAGCCAGCTGCTGCATGCCTCAGGACAAGAGCTACTTCTCAGCATTCCCAGCAGGGCTTTTTTGATTCTCATTAGACCCCATCTGCCACTTAGGAGAGGGAGCTGAAGTAACTAGAAAGCTCTCATTTGGGAAGCATTTTTCTCACACAAGAGGCAGGATCCGGGCTTCTCAACAAGGTTTTGCTCACCCTGTGTCCACCCAGTCTGACTTTAAACCCCCATGCTACAGAAAGGTTTCTGGTTTTCCAGGTCTTGGTTGCCCCTTACGTCCAAAGGCACCAAAGCATTCAGCACATGTCCCTGAATTCAGTCACTGGTGGAAGGGAAGACACCAGCTTTTTTGGATAGCTGTGCTGTACCACCGTTTAAGGCAAGAAGTGCATTTTTGTCTGAGAACAGGGAGCGAGGGTTTAATGGGACAGTAGAGCATCTCCCTCTTTGCACAGGTAAGTATAGGTGGCTGTCTCCATCTGTAATGTCAAGCTCTGTCCTTGAAGGAATTTGTGGGTACTGGGCCTGTCCTAGAGCTTTTCTACCCAGAATCCCCCTTCTCTGTGATGTTACCTCTTGGAATTCACTGTGGTAACGTTCAGAGAGGTGAAATTGTTGGGCCGGCAGACATTCCCAGGAGAGCATCCTCCAGAGCATCGACTTATTTTAATTCCCACTAAGTGACCATCTCTCCCCAAGAGATGATCTCTTACACAATCCCATATGAAAACTCCTGTAAAAATGAATTGCTAATTGCTCTTCGCCTTGGCATGCTTATTCTAAGCAGTTCTTCAGACCTCTGGATCAGTGCTTCTCAAACTGTGCTCCTTGGACAACCTGCATTAGAATGCATGGGGTCCTTGTTAAAATACAGACTCCACTTCAGACCAAAATCAGAATAAGAATTGGGCAGGAAGGGGACCGGGTATTTGTATTTGTAAAACAAGCTTTCTAGGGCTTCCCTGGTGGCGCAGTGGTTGAGAGTCTGCCTGCCGATGCAGGGGACACAGGTTCGTGCCCCAGTCCGGGAAGATCCCACATGCCGTGGAGCGGCTGGGCCCGTGAGCCATGGCCGCTGAGCCTGCACGTCCGGAGCCTGTGCTCCGCAACGGGAGAGGCCACAACAGTGAGAGGCCCGTACCGCAAAAAACAAACAAACAAACAAAAAAAACAAGCTTTCCAGATGATTCTCATACGCACTTGAGTTTGAGAACTGCTGTTCTTAATGACTGCTTTCTTCATTTTAGGTTTCTGCCCTCAGCCTCTTCAGCAGAGGCAGAGATACAGTCTCAGGTTTACTTCTTATCGTGGTTTTATGTGTGATGCTTTGATCCTTTGCTAATTTTGTTGCAGGCACAGTGGTGTTTGTGTTCTGTCTCGTATAAAACTCTTAGCTTTTTGGCTGTCCGTGCTTCACCTCCCATTTTTCTCAGCTGTTGTTGCTTTACAGGGTTCTCCCTTGAATATCTCTATGTGCTGAATTATTTTCTTCCCCATGTTGAATTTAATTATTATCCTTGTTTCTAGGATCTAGGGTCCTCAGATATTTCCCTTCTCTGCTTACTAAGGCTAGGCTTAGTCTTCCCAATTTTAGTATCATTGGCAAATCAGGAAAAATAAGACTAGGCACATATTTTATCTCCCCCTTCCGTCTGTCGATTCGAGGCTCTTCCAGGCTGAATATGCTACTATCTCTGCCTCAGGGTCTTATGTGCCATCTGACTCCCTCACACTTGAGCCAGTAGGACTTTTTGTTAATTTCTGTTTGGTCTTTAAGTTAGACATTTAAAGATTGCTAAGCTGAAGTTTTGCTGAATTCTCAAAACACTAAACTGCCTGAGTTCTCTCTCTGCTTTTCATTTTCTAATTGGAACAAGGCACAATATTGTAGCAGAAAACTGCAATTAATCTTCTAAAATTATGGTAACTTAATGTAATAACTTTGGTTGTAACCAAGTGAAAGCAAAATAACAAAAATATAAAATTACTAATGAAACCAGAAATAGTCATATAGCAAACTATGCCTCCAGTTTGTAATAAGTGCTGTTTTACCTAGGAATGGGGGCAAACGTCAGCAGTCGAGGTGTGGGTGTAGGTGGGGAGGCAGTGCTGGGGCAGTTTGGGCAGAAGTGATGGACAAGGGACTTGGGTGGGAGAAGAAGCCCTAGGACAGAAAGCAGTTTAGCTCTCCTTTCTCCATGGGACAGCATTGTGCTCTTTAAGGCCAAGCCTCAAACATCAATACTTAAGGGTCAATTTTATTGAAAGCTTTTTCTCTGTGGCTATGTGGTGAAACTGTATTCAAGGGTTGAGCAACTATTACCCAGACAGATTGTTAGTTTGGAGGGGGTGTTGGAAAGAAAGCCTGCCCCTCCCTCCCTCCACCCCTCTCTCTCCCCCCTCTTCTCCCCCTTCTTCCTCTCTTCTCTCCCGCCTCCCCCAACCCCTTCTTGACCCTGAGAGTTCTGCTCTTCAGTAGTGGACAGTCCCCTTGTATACCTTCTCCCTCTAGAGCTCCAGCTGTAAAGATATGCATCCCCTTCATTCTCAGTAGGTCCTAGGCAGCTGGAAAAGGAAGCAGATTTTTTTAGACCTACAACCTACTTATATCTAACTGGCCAGTAGTTCTCAATGTGTATTCCCCGGGACTTAAGTCAGCATCATCAGGGAACTTAATAGAAATGCAGCTTCTCAGCCCTGTCCCAGACCTGCTGAATCAGAAGCTCTGAGGGTAGGGCCCAGCCATCCTTGTTTTACCAAGCCCTCCAGTTGAGTCTGCATGCTGAGTCAAGATTGAGAACCAATCATCAACTGCATGGGGATCCCAATTAGACCTCACCTGTCAGTATAGCTTTGTCGTTTTCTTTTTTGCTCTCACCTTGTCTCTGGAATCTCATCTGGTTTATTTCTATGGCTCCTTTAACCAGATCTTTCATATACTTTCAGG